TAATGTTTTTTATAGGAAGAAATTTTAAACATTATCGCTCAATGTAATTTACCTGATAATTTTATTTTTTAATATATTAGTTTTTTCTCACTTGTATAAATTATTTTATCTAAATAATATAAATAAAAAAAATATTAGTACGAAAATTCTCTTCATTCCGTGAGTTGCGGACGACTTCGCAAGAGATATAACTCAAGAGATCGTCTCGCGTACCTAGCGAAAATAAAATCATCCTCGAAAAACTAAGAGGTTTTTACTCAGAATGATTTTTTGACGCATATAGAACAGCGTAATTTGAATTCACAAATACAAGTAAGATTGGAACATCCAACTTACAAAATTAATATATATATCGCTCTGGGTAAGTTTTTATTAAATAATACCAGAAACAGATATTAAATATAATAAATATTAAATATATTATCATTCCGAAGAAAAAAATTCTTTTGAATAAATAATTTCAAAAATATATGTAAAGTTGAATTTTTTTATATTGTTTACTAAAAGTAAACCGAAAAGAACGATAATAGCAACAATTAAGTAAAAGAAACGCATTTTGTTCAATAATTGTTAAAAAAGTTTTGTGAAAAAATAGGGTTGTAAAACAATTTTAGAGTATTTGAAAGTTTAAACAAATGAATCGTAAAGAGAAAGAAGAATTTTTTTGCTCGTTTTTATTGATGAAAAATTTTACCAGAAGGTTCTAGCATTGAATTACGTATGTAATATAAATTCTTAGTTTAATTTTAATATAATATTGGAATAAGAAAATAATATAAATTTATTGTAAAATTAAAATAATAATATATTGTCGATCAACAACATAAATTTATCAACAATATAAATTTATTGTAAAAATATAAATTTATTGTAAAATTAAAATAATAATATATTGTCAATCAACAATATAAATTTATTGTAAAAATAAAATAATAATATATTGTCGATCAACAATATAAATTTATTGTAAAATTAAAATAATAATATATTGTTGATCAACAATATAAATTTATTGTAAAATTAAAATATAAATCTGATTGGTTGGTAATGGTTTGAAAATACTCAAAAATACTCACGCAATTTTGATAATCTATAAGAAAATTTTTGTTGTTTTTTTTTAATAATTATATCTCTCTCTCGTGTCTTTTTTTTTACAAGTTAGTATTTTTCTGTTTTTTTGTTTAATAATATCTAGATGATTAGTATACTAGTTAAAGTTAAGAACTTTTGTATTCTCTCATCTAAGTAACTGGGGCTTAGTTCATTGAACACATGGATAGTGACTTTATGAACGACCGGTTTGTCACTATTCGCCTTTATGTGCACATTGATTCCTAAGTTCTTAATGATGATAGAGTTTGTTTTATTATATTTTTTTTATGTTTGCAAACAAAAATTAATAGCTATTGTTTTTTTTTTAGAATGGATAGCTCCTTGGAGCAAAATATCAAAACAGTTATCTTTTCGCTTCTCGAAATAAAGAAGAAAATAAAAGAAGTACCAAAAGAATCACCATGTCATGATTGCAACAAACTTAAAAAAAATTATAAAAGCGCTTTTAAAAAATATAGCAAAGGTCTTTCTTTGGTTGAAAATATTGTTAAACTTCAAAAAGAAGTTGATAAAACAAA